TTTATAGATCTTCTCGAGCCTGGCCGCTGCTTGCTTGTAAATCTGCAGATGGTCCAGGTCAAGGGTTTTTTGCCAGTCCTCAGCTGTTCGGTCGTAGAGCTGGGTAGCCCTCTCATATGCAGCTAGGGCAGCATCACGCTGGCGCCTGCGGAGGTGCGGTTCATTGGCTGGTGTGTCTGGCGACCTGTGGTTCTTATGGATGTACAAAGGCGTGATGCGCTGGAAGAATTGGGCGTCAAAACCTTGGGCCAAATCTTCGAACCCTTTTCTCTTCCTGGGGTTTGTCCAAGCCTCCCATACCACTCCAAGCTGGACAACCACATTGGTGGGAGTAAGGACGTATTGGGCCAGGGTGATGAGGCCTTGGAACAGGGCTCTGGCCTTGGTTTGGGCTCCGGGGGCCATACCCGTGATGGTGCCTTTGCGGACGAGGCCGCCCATGGAGAAGGTGTGGATACAGAGTCCAAACACCCAGGCCTGGGAGCGTTGGTCGTAGGATGATGGGGTGGCATCGAGTGTCACTGCCAAGCCTTGCCAGGGCTGGAGCGTCAGAGGTTCAAGGGTGCTCCAACAACCGTGGCCTTGCAGTGGTTGTGGCACCTGCAAATGGTCCTGTGGCTCCTTGCGGATCCATCCATGTGCCCATAGGGGGTCTTCCAAGGGATCCTGGAGTCTCTCCGTCCAGTCGATGGCCAATGGTTCGTGGCCTTGGTTGTGGTGCCAAGTGCAGAGCCACACTATGTGCTTTGGGGTGGCTGGGACGCCGCAGAGTGGGCACTGCTTGATCTTGTCCCCTTCCCGGTAGTGTAGGGCTGCTTGGTTCCATGTTTTCATGTGCTGGAGTTGCTGCTTGTTCAGGACTTTTGCTGCTTTCTTGGCTGCCGTCCAATCGAGTCCACTGACCAAATTCTGACAGTTCTTCCGGCTAGCAATGCGGCTGGTGCGTTGTTGCTGTGCTTCATGGTGCAAAGTCTGTTCTATAGTGGCCCAATCATCTCTCAAATTGATGTTGGCTTCGGTCATGAAAGCCGTTTCGTGTCGGTGCCACTGATAGAGCGTGTCTGTTGTCCAGCCCCACTCATTGAGGTAGGCCAGAGTGGCTGCCAGGGGTCCCTTGACGCTGTACCATTGGTGGGCTTTGTTGCGGAGCTGGTTGCGGATGGTGATCCAGGCTTGTTCGACATGTTGGATGTGGTCCAAAGGCCAGTGTGTGATGAGGGTGTGCAGGGCTCTGATGTGATGGACAATCACCTGGTCACCTGGATCTCCAAATTTCTGCTGGGCTTGGTCATAGATGATGTCCTGCAAACCCCCTTGGTGGAGCCCGAGGTGTTTGGCCAGCCCTTGGCGCAGGGCTAAACGGTATGAGCCATGTATGGACGGCTTGAGCCATGTATGTATGTATGTATGTATGTATCTCAACATATCGGGGACAAACTCTACGCCCTAAGCGCCACACTGGACCTTGGAGGCGGTGTGAAAACAGAGACTTTCTATGGGCTGTTACAGTGCAAGCCCACAAGACACATGGCAGCTTGGAAAGTTGAAGGGCTCTCCTGTTTGTTGAAAGCACGTGGCACACAGGTTGCCTTGAACTCTACTGAATCATCAACCGAGATTCAGCAGATCTAGCCCACCAACTGGGCTGCACACCATGGCTGGAAGGCTTTCCAGAGGGCATCGTCAAATCCTGACAGAACAGAAGCAGCTGCTGTCGCGTTGGCAAGAACGTTGAGAAGCCGCTTATGACTTTTAAAAAAAGGCAGAACCAGCCAATCAGCTATTGGCCACAACATAACATAACTGTTTGATATGTTGGCGCCATCAAAGAGTCTAACGAAAAGTGTTGGATCCGGTGAAAGACAGTCATTCAGGAGACTTGGGAAGTTGAGGTCCTTTCGCATCCTGTTCTGTGACACGAGGGGATTTCACAAGCTAGTTGCATTTTTTAAAAAGCACATCACAGACCTAGGAGCTCCCACTTGCAAGGAGGTCTGGCTGCCGAAACTTCATCCTCACATCCACCACCTGGCGGGGGCTCGATGGCCAAGGGCACCAGTTTCACCCAGTCTTGCTTCGAAGGTTGCGAGCCGAAGCAGCGGCCAAGGGCGCTTATGACATCCCATGACGGTTGAAAAGCGATGTTATAAGATCACACAAACCAAGTTCTTGCCTTCACACCCTGCATTGATTTAAAGATTCTGCCAGCTGCTGTACCTTCTTGACCAAGCTGGGCACTGGCTCACTGCCGCCCTGCGGAAAGGCCAAGTACAAGCTTCCGAAGATCAAAGACTCCAACACTCTGTCTGTCTGACATTGTTGGTTCCGCTTGAAATAGCTCCTCTTTTTTCCGTCTGTTTGTTGCAAGCTCAATCGCTTTTCGGGCTTTATTCCAAAGGATGCCTGAGCTGCAAAGGAACAATGGAGCAAGCCTCATTGGCCTGTCTGATTTCCTGCATGCACTTCTGCGAGAATGACCTGATTGAGCTGATCAAGCATGATCAAGTATCAAGTGGCCCTGTCGTTCCATGTGTCTGGCAAGCTAGTACCTTGGAGTATCATAAATTCAACATGCTTTAATCCTAATATCGCACGTTGACTGGCCAAGGCGCTCCACAAATGGCGTCAGGTCACAGAAGGTTTCCAGTGGCCTCGCATAGGCAGAAAGGCTAGTAAGGATCCCTTCTTCACAATTTGTGTGTGTGTGTGTGTCGCAATGAGTCGCATAGATTACATAGGGAGATGCATGAAGGTTCAAGACTCTGTTCCAAGTGCGGCTGGAACGTTAGACAAAGAATTACAAAGAAACGGCTGTGCCCTGCCAGCTTCGGTGAACAAGAAAGACCAGTCATGGCTCCACACTTCTGTGCTGCTTTGGCCACGCTCTCAGCTCCCTCCAGGACCTTTCAGAAAGGAAGATCTCACAGCATGAAAAACAACTTACACGTTCACCATATCTTACAGCTTCATAGAGATTCATAGACCCACAGGTTCGTTATGCTTCACACCCGGCGCCAGTGCCTCAGCCAGCCGGCTGATCGGCTGCAGCTTGCAGTTGGCTGCACTGGCACAAAGCGCGACGACCATGTGGCCTCGACGGCAGGGGGACTGGAGGCCATGTTGGTGTTGCAAAACATAGCAGCACAAACAAGTTGGCGGGAGGTCTTCTTTCGGAGAGAATGAAAATGAGGACGAAAGTGGCAAAGGTCTCTTTTCTTTTCATCTGATTTCCACAGCTTTTGAATCCGGTGACTGAAGGTTAGGATCCCTGTATCTTCTCAAAAAAGGGTGGAACATGGTAGAAGCACTGGTGCTAGAGCACCAAACACTTTCTCTGAACCCAGCCCCGCCTGCATGTGAGAGCATGGGCCCTACCTCACATTGAAGCCTTAGTGGGTTTGAAACTTCTCTCCACGTTCGTTCTGAGGGTGTGGGAAAGGTGTGGACCCTTGACTGAACCAAAGGTCACAAGAACGCTTCGACGGTCAAACTTCCCTTTTGACACCTTTCAGTCCTTAGGAAGCTGCGACAAGGCAGCTCGCAGCGTGTTCTGTACTACCTAGCAGGTGCAACCCACGGAAACCCAATCCCAAGAGCAAACAAACAAACAAACAAACAAACCACCTTGCTTTCTGCGTAGAAGTGGTTTCCGATGCAACTCGCTTGGAATGAGCAACTGCAAGCCCTGAAAATGACCTGCATGGCCTCGAAAATGGTTGTTTCTCTGGAGTTACAATCATAGTGATTCGACGTCCGCGTGGCATTCGAAGCCCTTCGCACCTCCATGTCCAATTCAGAAGCTGCAAAGACCAGAGTCTGATGCAACACCTCACAGGATCCGGTGAATGGGCCCCTAAAACCCGATGTTCAAATGATATCCAAGTGTCTTGGATGTTGGAAAGCAGTGTTGGAAATCACTTTGACACCTTTGTTTGAGGACAGACTCCGGAGGGAAGCTCGGAGCACATGCACAGTGTGCCCTAATCCAAACTCACATGTGACTTGCATGACAACGCCACTGTCATAAAGCTGAAAAAGCACTTGGACCATGCAGACAAGCACACTGCCAAAGAAAAGCCGAACCGAGCTACCTTCACAATCTCGTTCCGGATCTTTGCACAGAACTCCTGCAAGTGAGTGAGTCGTAGATGACACAACATGAAGGATGCCAAAACCCCGTCTCCTCTGAACTAATGCGGCGCGAAAAATGCCTTTTGCTAAGTGGCGAATCATGAAGCCCGCATGCTGGTGGAACACATGCCTGACAGCCCAGTTGGGAATCAGCAGGGGACCCTCAACCGTACTGGTTAATGATTTTCTGATATTTTCTGAACCAACATCGAAAACCAATAATTACATGTTGGACGAACATGTTTGCAAACAAGAACACTGTTTCTTCAAGGCGTGAGTCTTGGAGTTACCCTCCAGGTCGAAGGGTCCAAAGGTCCTTGTCATCTTCATATTCGCTGAGGAGAGCTTGGCATCTCATCCCAGCACGCCGCGTGATGAGCTTGTAGCGCTCGCGCTTGGCTTTGACCAAGGCAAGCCTTAAAACATGTTGAATTTGAGCACATATGAGTTTTGCCGAGGCCTTCGCAAAAAATTACTGTTCTGAGATTCTGAGAAGGAGAGATGCAGGCTCTTCCAAACAAGTTCACAGCCAACATGCCCACAACGAAGATCAACGAAGCAGGTAGTTAAGTAATTCAGCTGGTCTAGGCCCCGAGCCGGCAGTTGAGCAAATACCTGGGTCCGGCTTTCTGTGGCTTGCAGAGTATGCGAAGCAGTTCCCATCCTCAGCGAAGCGAGGTCTCCAACAGAGGAACCCTGGACATGCCACACACTGCACTGCACTTGTTCAGTGTGTCATCACCCAATGGCGCAGGTGTCAACAACAAAAGAGTTGGGCAGCAATCCCTGAGCTTCCTGCGATGACGTGGCTTGGCCGGGGCCACCGCATAGGCCTGGCTCTGCAATCTCCAGCCATGAAGGTGGAATACCAAACACATCCAAACACCTTGCAAATTGTTCTACTGGTTTGGCGCCCCCCGTTTTCGAATCCTTCTGCCGGTGATTGCCACCTGCTGAGGTACCCAGAAAACAAATTCATTGTATGCAGTTCACCATCTCACCGTTTGGTTGGAGAGAGAGAATCGGTTTTGGTTGCTAGTTTGCCAATCTTTGCAGCTACCCACCAACACATCTGTTTGACGTGGCTACCAGACTGAGATGTCACTCCAACGATATGAAGAAGGTCTTTGCCGTTTGAAGGTGATCACGTGAGGACTTCTGGCGATGCCGGATAAAAATACAAAGGGCTTAAGAGCTGATATTGCCACAAGCACTACGGGCCTCTAGCAGCTCCCCACATTTAGTTTCTCAACCTTCTCCAACTCAATCCTTACCTGTGTAAGCTCTCGCAGCACATCACTCAACCGCACTTCCTGGCCAGTGAAACGAACACATCACTCATCCGCGGACTGGTCCAAGGCATGGACTCTTGCAACTGACGTCTGGATATGTCTGGATCTTCTGCTAAGCTCCTCTGCTTAGCTTCACACAGCGCTCCTTGATGGCATCCTTCAACCGGAGCGTGTCCGCGTGGGTTCCCAGCAAGGCCACGACATGCTCGATGCCCTGTTCGGATCTTCCAGGGCGGGCTGTCACATGTCCGTCTCGATCGCCTAGATACACATTCCATGCTACTCGTAGTAATGGCCTCCACCCTGGTAGTTTCTTGTTACTGCTAGCTTCTTGCTAGTAG